TCTGTGTCTAATGAGAGTGTGTCTTGTTTTTGTTTTTTGTTCTGTTGATGTGGTATGTTACAGTTATAGATTTGCCTATCTTGAGTCATTCTTGCATCCCTGGAATTAATCTCACTTGGTCACGGTGTATAATCTTCCTGATGATTTGCTGAATTATACTTGCTAGTGTTTCATTGAGGATTTTTGCATCTATGTTCATGAGGTAAAATGGCCTATACCTCTCTTTTTTAGTTGGGTCTTTCTCTGATTTTGGTATCAGTGTAATATTTGCCCCAAAAAATTAATTAGGAAGAACTTTTTTTTCAATTTTATTGAATAGTTTGAGGAGTATTGCAATTAGCTCTCCAAATTTCTTGTAGAATTAAGCTGGGAATCCATCAGGACCTGGGATTTTCTTTGTTGGTAAGTTTTTATTACATTTTCAATTTTATTGACTGATACTGCTTTGTTCAGAATTTTTTATCTTGATTCAGTTTTGGTAATTTATGCATATCTAGGAATCTGTACTTTTCATATGTTTTCTATCTTGTAAGAATAGAGGGCGGAGGATATAGCTCAGCAGCATAAGTGCCCGCCTAGCAAGTGCAAGGTCCTGAGTTTCATCCCCGGTACCGGTATTTCAAATTATTCAAGTATTTCAGCTTTGTTTTGTTATTTGCAGACCATAATAAATATAACGATATGACGCCAGGTATGGTGGTACAAGCCTGTAATCTCAGCCCTTGGGAGGCTGAGGCAGGAGGATCCTTGCAAGTTTACAAGCTACAAAGCTAGCTGGAGGCCAGCCTAAACTGCATAGCAATACCCAGTCCCAAAAGACAAAAATAAATAAATAAATAAAGGCTATGCTAACTGTATTTGCATATGGGCACACATGTGGGTCACATATTTACATGTGGGTGCACATACCATGGTGAATGAGTACATGTAAGGAACTAATGAACCACTCAGCAACTTCCATTGCAGTGACACATACCCCTCGTCCCTGTCCATTTCCCAGCCTCAAGATCGAGTACCCATGGCACCGTCAACGTAGTCCCAGCTGGACAGTGCCCCAGACCACAGAGCTGACACTGGACAGGGCATACGTTACCAGAAGCAGCATGACTTCCTTCCTGCGAACTGCCCACGCCCTCACGGTCCGGTCCCGGGAAGCAGAGAGCAGCCACTTCCCATCATGGCTCCAGCAGATGGAGCTCACAGCTCCATCGTGACCTATCCAGCATAAGAAGAGAGGACCAAGAGTGTTATCTATCAGTACTCGGCCAAGAAACACCTAAACTGCCTCTTTTCAAAGAGTTAACAACACACACGGTGGCATTTCCTAGCTGCTTCCTGGCTCCAGCAACACCAACAGAACCACTGGCCCAAGGTGACACGTCACTTAAGAGGTTCAATCAGCACAGCTCCAAAAGGAGGTGCTTCTGAAACCTCATATTTCTTAAAATATGAAGTTCAAGATCGTGTGTGTATCTGTGATTTTAAAAAAGAAACAGTATAAAGTACAATTATAAGAAAAACAGTACAGAGGACTTCTAGGTAATTTACCCATCTTTTTTACTGTGACAGAGAAAGTCAATAAGATTCCCTGAGCATTCTACCTACACACCCCCATCTGCAGCATGGTTGCTTTGGGGGCTGGCTTCCTGGACACCCAGTTTGGCTCTGTGTTGTGGTGCTGGTGAGCTGGCCAAGGACCCCGGCAACTTCCCCTCCCTTCTGAGCTTTTCTGGCTAGCATCCCTCCTTCCACCTGCACCCACCCTGTTTTGGCATGGGAACATGTGGTTT